CCCAGTTACTCTTTATTTCTTTACTGACTTGCTTCTGATAGTTTGCACTTTGTACGTTTAGTTTTCTACGGGATTATATATTCTCACTTGGACTCTCAGTTGTCGCACTTTGTGACAATCATGGAAGTTCCATTGTGTGCCATTTTTTGCTTCCATTGCAGGACACGGTGCATCTCTTTCGTTAACAAACAATTTTCCCAGTAAGACTTTTTGTTTCTACCACTGCCGGTACTCACAACAGAGTGTCTCATAAAAGGTGCTAGTTCTTACCATAAAGTGTCTAAAAACAGATTCCGGCAGGCAACATAAAGTGTCTAAAAACAGATTCCGGTAGGCAACATAAAGTGTCTTTAAAAAATGATGGTACACGCCACAAAGTGCCATAAAAAGTGTCTGTACTTAACAAAAAGAGCTTTTTACAGTAGAAGTAAAAAATATTTTCACTGAAAGAAGGAACCATTGCCCACCACCGTAGAAAAAAAAAAGCCTGGCTCCTAATACGTTTCTTAGTTTTTTTTTCGAAAAAATAAATATAGTAATATCTCGTTAACACGGACTGACCGAAGGGGAAAAATCGGCTAACATGAACACAACTGTGGTCACTGCAGGGGTGTATTATACACAGTACATCTACTATTGGCCCCCTTATAACGAATTCCTAATTCTTTGCTCTCTTGGAACTCATGTTAACGAGATTTTCCTGTATAATGTCACGAATGTCTTCTATCAGCGACATTTGCTTAGTTAACCCATTGTGTAAGCTTTTGCTATCTGAATTATTAGTTTAACCACTTCAGTCCCAAAATGCACATATCGAACACTTTCAGACTTAAGTATTTGTTGCTATTTAACCTTAGCTATTGACCTCACTGTCATCCCCATGTGGGATGCAATTTTGTGTTATTTTGAAGCCCCACCCTGGCTTTTGCTTGGGGCCCTAAACATAGCCGGGCCTGAAATATGGCCTATCGATTGAACAGGATTTCCGGGACCTCTCCACGGGTAATCCTCATCCGCATGGTTTCACAGGGTGTTTATCACATGTGTGATGTCCTAGTGGGGTACAATTATTTACCTACCTACCTTTAACTTCAGCTCCTTTAAAAATATCGATTGACAGTAACAGCCACTAGCAAATGAATGTGTTAATTTTGTGTTATGTCACATTTGATCAAAACTATAATGTCAGTTTACCTGTCAGTATTTGATAAAAGAGTCATTTATTTGAAAGATGTGTATATATATTTGAACAATTTCTACGAATATAACCCCCCACCCCAAGCTTTTTTTAAAAAAGAGATAATTATCAGGTAGTTAGCCGGCCATATCACATTTTGTTAGACATTTAGAACATAAACCGACAGTTTTTTATTAAACGTTTTTAGCCAAAATATCTGACTAAATAAATAATAGCTTTCTTCAGATATGAATACATACCTGGACTTTCAGATCTGCGATGTTGAAGTTCGAATCTACATTGAACCTGAGAGGAACATTAACGCCAATAAAGGCAACATTATCACTAATATCGATAATTAACAATCGCCAAAGAGGCAATTTTGTCACTAGCATTTACAGTTAACTGTCACCAAACAGGCAATATTATCACTAACATAGTCAGTAAACTAACACCATACAAATAGTTTTATCACCAACACAGACAGTAAACTAACGTCAGACAAGCAGTATTATAATATAGACAGTAAACTAACGCCAGACAAGCAGTATTATAATATAGACAGTAAACTAACGCCGGACAAGCAGTATTATAATATAGACAGTAAACTAACGCCAGACAAGCAGTATTATAATATAGACAGTAAGCTAACGCCAGACAAGCAGTATTTTAATATAGACAGTAAACCAAAGACATACAGACAGTTCTATTACCAACATAGACAATAAACAAACAGGACAAATATGCTAAATATAACAAACAAGCTTACTAAAAAAGCTAGGCGGAGTGAATGGAAAAAACGCACACAACACAGTCGAACGTTTCGATCAAAGTCTTTATCAAGGGAGGATTAATTACATTACAGAACTATTCAGTACTCCACTGATAAAGACTTTGGTTGAAACTGTCGGTTGTGTCTTTTCGATTCCCTCTTTGAGCTTTCAAGTCACATTTTGTGTTTTATTTAGCATTTCTTTCAATCAGCTCGACTGCAGTCGCCTCCTATTTACGTTAGTTAACACAAACAATATTATCACTAATAAAGACAGTTCAGGCTTAGACGACAGATCAACATCATGACACAAGGGGGTAACCCATAAATGTTCCCTTCTATTTCTGACTAAAGCCTATGTCCGAAGATTTTCAGTTCAGTGCACGAAACCCCTAGCGATTCTAAAACACTTTGGGTCGATTTTTGATTCCAAATTTTGCCCGGACAGTGCCGTTAGGATACTGTTTTCGATTTCCAACTAAGGGGTTTTTATTACGCGCTCAAAATACAGACCGACATCTGATCAAACTACCCAGAGATCAGGGGACATTACTAGAAGTCCACGTGAAAAAATCCCAGCCTGACCCAGGGACCTCCAACACTTCAGGCTGGCTGCATGCCTAAATACATAAAGTAAACTAACGCAGGACAGGCAATATTATCACTAACATACACAGTAAACTAATGCCAGAAAGACAATATTATCACTAACATTCACAGTAAACTAGCGCCAGATAGACAATATTATCACTAACATTCACAGTAAACTAGTGCCAGTTAGACAATATTATCACTAACATACACAGTAAACTAATGCCAGAGAGACAATATTATCACTAACATACACTGTAAACTAGTGCCAGTTAGACAATATTATCACTAACATTTACAGTAAACTAGTGCCAGTTAGACAATATTATCACTAACATACACAGTAAACTAATGCCAGATAGACAATATTATCACTAACATTCACAGTAAACTAGTGCCAGTTAGACAATATTATCACTAACATACACAGTAAACTAATGCCAGATAGACAATATTATCACTAACATGCACAGTAAACTAATGCCAGAGAGACAATATTATCACTAACATACACAGTAAACTAATGCCAGAGAGACAATATTATCACTAACATACACAGTAAACTAGCGCCAGATAGACAATATTATCACTAACATACACAGTAAACTAATGCCAGATAGACAATATTATCACTAACATGCACAGTAAACTAACGCAGGAGAGGCAATATTTATTATCACTAACATACACAGTTAACTAACGCAGGAAAGGCAATATTATCACTAACGTAGACAGTAAACCAAAGTCAAATGAATTACTGCTGCACTAGAAAGGAAGAGCAAAAACTAACAAGCGCGAGCAGTGGTAACGCAGTAGCTAATCAGCATGTCAGTCCAAAAGTCTTCAGTTCAAATCCATATCGTGATGACTTTCTAATAATTGACATGGAGCCGGTTGTTACTTGCCGCTTGGGCAGATACACTCCGACCTCAAATGAGGCTCTTGCGACATGCTTGCTGAGGGTGGGGGAGTGCGTCTATTCTTGTTTTCACCAAAATGGGTAGCAAAGCCCAGAAGGGAAACTCAATGTTCTGATTGCAGAATTAACAGAAAATGAATATAACTTGATTGTTATTAAAGAAGAAGTGTCTGTAATCATCAGCTTACTGAAAATGTATATTGCTTTTCCGAAGTTTGTCTATCTGATCATTTGCATCTTGCTCCCAAGAGATGAGTTCGGGAATTTCCACTAACGATGTATTATCGAAATAAAAAGATATCTCCGGTGACGGCCCTCCAACAGAGAGACGAGCGCTGATGTAAGCTGAAGAAAGAAAACAGACAACATTCAGGAAACATTATCAACATAGACAGTAAACTAACGACGAAAAAGGCAATGTTATTTCTAACATAGTCAGCAAACTAACGCCAAACGGGCAAATATTATCACTATCATAGTAAACAAACCCCCAAAAAGCTATATTATCTCTAATATAGACAACAAAATAACACAAAAGCAGGCAATGTTATCATTAAAATGTACACTAACAACAGACAATATTGTCACTAACATTGACAGTAAACTGTCGCCAAAAAAGACAGTATTATCACTAATATAGACCTAAATTGAGTCTCCGTGGCATAGCGGCTAGACCCTCGTCTGCGTATCGGAAGTACGTGGGTTCGCTACCTGGCAGGGCCAGACTGTTTTTCAAAAACTTTCCTTGGCTCCCAGGTCGACTCAGCCTTGAGGGGATACCGGGTGCGGTCCTGAAAAGAAAAGGCGTCCAGCGTGATGCTGACCACATCCCCCATCTTGTGCCTGTTGGTCTATAAAAATATAGGTCTAGCCCTATATGCCCTATACACCCGAAGGCGTGGAAGAAGGGTCCTTTACTTTACTTTCTCTTCTTATAGACTGAAATTAGCGACAGACAGGTAACATTATCACTAAACTAGACAGTAAACTAAATACAACAACATATTATTGTCTAACTGTGTATAAATTCGCACGAATTAACGATACGATTGCTTGTTGGTTGATATTGAACGAGTTCTTTTGTTGCTGGATACACAAATGGCCCCATTGTAAATGAAACGCTCCTGTCTGTCTGTTTACCTCTGTTTGGAAACATGAAATCAGACCCCAGCATGATCCAGCCATCCTGAGGCGTTACATGTAAACGAGTTGTCAGTTCAAAATCAGCCGTCCCTGTAAAAGAGAAATGAAAGTATTCATAACCAAAGCATATGCTTCAGGTAAGGTGAACGCACGCATGTACACACGCGCGCACACACATTTACACACACACTTACACATCAACATCATCATCATCAGGTGCCTTGCCGACTGGCGTGAGTCATCATGTATCTCCATAATCCACGATCTCTTGCAGCATGTATCAGTTCGTGTGCCGACACACCTCCATGCCATGCAACAAGACTGTCAAGAATCTTCTCTCGTTGTCTTCCTCTATCCCTCCTTCCACAGATCTTTCCAGTGGTCACAGCATGTTCTGTTTCCCCTCTTCTCATAACATGGCCGAAAAATGATGACTGTCTCCTTCTGATGTCTGTGATAAGGAGACTTCAGAATCCCGCCTCTTTCAAAACCTCTTATTTGCTCTATTTTGGCTGTCCAAAGTATTCTGAGCATTCTTCTGTAAAACCACATCTTTGAGGCCTCAAGAAATTACACTTACACACTCGCACAAAATAGGAAGAAATATGAAGTAAACAAGTATACTAGAACTTCAAATGTCCAACAAGCAATTATCTGGACTCCGTTTTATCCGGCCTAGTTGAAAAAATAATCTTGATAATAAAGAGGGAAGAGGGCAAAAAGCGCGAAGAGAAAATATATTAAGGACTCTTTCTAAAATTGAAAAAGTTTTGACTCTCTCATATAACGTCGACTTTCTTTTCCTTTTTGTGTAATTACTTATCAATTCAGTTATTTAAAAAAGTTTAAATAATTTGTGTCAGTAAGCTGTTAATTTTGAAATTGATGTTTAGTTGATTTTAAATATGTTTGTTTTCGAAAGTCGGCGTCTGTGGCTTAGGAGTTGCAAACGCGCTGTGTAATATCGGGGTGTCGGGTTCGATCCTTGCTGCAAGCGGTCTGTTTTGCGATGGTTTCGACCGTGGTACCGAGAGCCGACCGTCCAGTAAGCAATGGCAAACTACGGAAATAAGACAGTTGACGGTACACGCCAAGTCACTGGTTGATTACCTTGATAATGTTCTTCTTTATTTTTTTTTGGGTATGCTCTACTGCCTATATGGCAAACTACTGAAGTAAGACAGTGGACGGTACACGCCAAGTCACTGGTTGATTACCTTGATAATGTTCTTCTTTATTTTTTTTTGGGTATGCTCTACTGCCTATATGGCAAACTACTGGACGTAAATTTTGCCTTGAGAAACCACATAACAGCCAGGGACTGTTGGGTTTGGTTCTTTTCTTAACGTTTCTGCAACGTCCTGTAAAGGATAGGCAACTAACCTACTGCTTATGCCGCAAAGCGTTGTAGATAGGAGTTTTGTGTAGTATCCTGTCTTGTGCTAGTTGCGTAGCTTGTGTTAATATTATAATGTGATAATGAAAAACTGTCAATACCACTTTGTTAGTTGCGTATCCTTTACAGGACGTTGCAGAACTAACCCCAGCATTGCCTGTTGTGGTTTAAAAAAAAAAAAAAAAGGCAAATTTACGTCATTGCTTTCTGGACGATCGGCTTCTCGATTTCACTGTTGAAACCAACGCAAGGTGCAAGGCCCGCAGCTGGGATCGAACCCAGTACCCCGGCATTACGAAGCGCGTGCGCAATGCTTTAGCCACATACGCCAACAGTCAATACCACTGCACTCGGAAAAAACCCACGTAAACTCTCGGTCTCTACCAAGGACAAGACGAAGATCGTGGAAATCTATAATGCTGCGAACTTGTTATGTATGAGGCTAAATTTATATAGTTTACAGACCAATAGGTCATCGATGGGGTATGTGTTCGACATCACATCGACCACTTTTACTTCCCAGGACTTCACCTGTTACTCATTTAAGGCTGCGTCAACCTGGGTGAGGATTTACACCCACGACCTTCTAATCCGCAGGCCAGTATCTAGCCGCTACACCACGGCGGCTCGGGTACAGAGTAACCAGTCTTTACTGTGGAGATGGCTTACATTTGTTGACAACTTTACCTTAAACTTTACAAAAATACAAGTGAACAAAAATATCCTCCCCGTCTGGGTTCCGGGGCCCTATTGTGGGGACAACAAGAATAGACCCACTGCCTTACCAACAAGCATGTCGTCAAAGTCGACTAATTGGGAGCTCTCCTCTAAGTCGGAGTGGATCTGCCTGAGTGGCAGGATGCAACCAGCTGCACACAAATAAAACAGTAAAACGGATGTACACGCAAAACTCAGGCCCTGGCACAAAGCCAAAATCCAAATGAACGAACAACCTGAGTTTACTGTCAATGAATGACTCGCCACTACACAAAATCGTCGAGTCAGGACCTGGTATTCCCCCACGCTCGACAAAAATTTCAAACTTGGACCCGTCCGGAAAGGTATATAGTCCCTTTTATTGATCTATACCATTATCGGATAAAATAATAATATCTACACCTTCTAGTTGCTTTGACTTATCGCCATTTTCAAATTTGCAACTGTAAGTTGATTATTTCTAAGGTTTTATTTGAACATTCCTGGAAACCGGTTTACTCCTTGCTCATGTATACAAGGAACTTCTTCTTACTTGAGTTAGTGCGGGCATTCTTCTGCCGGCATTCTTAGAGACCAGAGATATTCATCGACGCCTAACAAATTCAAACATTGAGAAGGCGGCCTGTAGTGTCTAGGACATTTCCTATGCTTGGGATGAAACCTCTGTAAAGAGCAGGCAGATTAATCACAGTCCTACCAACATCCACCAACCAACTATCCACCAGCTAACACCAGTAAATGTACCTAGCATCATCATGGTGTGCCATATACACCAACACCTTAACAGGGCCAGAGCGTGTGAGTGAGCTCCGGAGCAGGTGAACATTTGCAGAGAGTATACCCATACTCGAGTGTACCAGTCTTCAGGAGCTTGGTGGAGCTCAGAGACAGAGTTGTGACCTAACCTGTGGGAGAGACTTGCTGTGTCCCTATACAGTTCCTGTGTCCTCGATGGTGAGGTACTCCTCTATGAACAGATTGACTTGAGGCAGAACTACCAGAGTCAAATACAGTCGAATCACCATGGACTGAGGGGAGCATCAACAATAGAACTCTGATAAGTGCCAGTTTTTGTGTTATTATCATGCTCTATTCCCAACAGCTCCACAGTATTCCAGGGATGACACTGTGTTGCTAGTCAAGACCTTCTGGCTGTTTCAATATCTGAGTCGTTGCTCTGAGTTCTGATTCTACAAACATTCTAAACATTATTCTTTTATTGCTGTAAAGAAGTTGAATAGATTACATGCATTCATTTTCATGGCTGACTTAGGTGTCTCTATTTCACCTTACTAAGTGTTTATCTTTGATGTGTGTATGAATAGTAAGTATTAAATGTGTTAACATGGTTATGATAGTAAACTATCATAACCTGGAGGCTTTCTTTTTATAGTAGTGGGGGTGTCCAGCCAAGTTTGCCTAGGAATATCATATTCGTATACATATATATTTTGTAGTGCCAAAACTTGAGTTGCCCTACTCCAGAAATAAGTTGAGCGTATATTGGTCACGGGGCATCCCTTAGACCAATACGAGCCAAACGACTCAACATAATTATTTCTGAGTGCTGTTGGTTCTTAAGGAAAAATCCTTAATTCAGGCACGTGACAGGAGTGATATGTGACAGAACACCATATCCCCAAAAATCTGGCTGCTCGTCCGGGATTGTTTGTATACTCTGTTCAATCTTTAAAGTCGCTGGTGATCTTGGCCATGAGGTTGTTCAGTGTTTGTATTTTGTTGTTAACACAGTTGTGACCACTCTGGGTCAGTTCTTAGAATGTACTCATAGGAGTGAATTGTGATCAGTTGTGGTGTTTTGTGGTGTTCAAGTACATTGGGGTTAGGTACAACCTTGGTTGGTGGTGATAAATTGATCTATTGTCGATTATATTTACATTGTTGGTGACAATATATTTTGTTGTGGACTGTTAGATTGACAAGACAGCATGTCGCAGTCAAAAATTTTTATCCAGGAATTGAAGGACATGGCTGTCCAGATGGGATTGGAGGGTAAGGAAATGACCGAGTGGATTAAAACCACGGAACGTGAGATGAGGATGGAAGCCCGCTAGGCAGAAAGACTCAGAATTGAATCTGAAAGGACTCAAGAAACCGAACGACTAAAAATTGAATCTGAGAGACTCAGACTTGAGTCTGAGAGGGAATCAGAAAGAATGAGATTGGAACAGGAAGTAAGATTAAGGGAAGTGGAACTTTAGGCACAGAGAGAGGGTAATAGACCCAGATCTCCAACACCTGAGATTGATGGTGCATCAACGCACAGTGGCTCAGCTCAAGCGATCAACTTTCCTATGCCAGTCTTCGATCCGAAGGCTGAGAATATTGAACAGTACCTAGACCGATTTGGCAAATCGGCATCTTTGTAGAATTTGGAAAGGAATATGTACACGCTGAAGTTGGCTCAAGGTTTGAGGGGTTAGGCATACGAGATTTATCAGCGGATGCCCACCGGTACTGAGACTGATTATGATGCATTGTGTCAGGCGTTGCTGAAACGTTTCGAACTTAATGCTGCGACATACAGACAGAAGTTCTGAAATGAGAGAAAGATGACAGGGGAGAACTATCCCCAGTTCGCCAGTCGCCTTCAGGGATATTTCACTAGGTGGAGGGAAATGTCCGGATACTCCTCTTCTTTTGAAGATTTACAGGAGATGGTCCTAACGGAACAACTCCGAGAGACATTACCTCGCCCTATGCAAACCTTCCTGACGGAGAATGGTGCTGACAGACTGAGTGAGATGTTGATGTATGCTGAGAGGTATGAGATGGCACATAAAGAGGTGTGTATAGGGGGAAACCCAAGGCCTAGGGCCAAGGGAAGAAAAGTGGTAATGGTCATAAAACCCTTCAAAATGAATCCCCTAAAAAGAATGCATCCCAAGCACAACCCCAGAACCCCTCAAAATTTCAGGGAACACAACATAGACAACCCTTTAATGGACCTAAAAAGCCTTACTGCCATATTTGTAAGAACAATAACCACTGGACTAAGGAGTGTAAATCCAAACAGTCAGGGGGTTTGCAAGTATCAGCTTTGTTGTCTACTGTAGTACCCTCTACCCGGGAAAAGTTGTACATTGGTTCCAATAGGCCACCTGTGGTAGAGAGGGTCTGGGCTAACGGATATTCTTTAAATTGTCTGTATGATAGCGGATTGTCGTACAGAGCTGTGGTGAGGCCAGAGTTTGTAAAACCTGACCAGTATACAGGCAGATTCACAGAGCTCCAATGTGCCACATTGGATGCTAAACCTTTAAACTTGCCGATTGCTAAGATCAGGGTCCGTTCGAAGTATGTCTCGGGGGTAATTGAGGCAGCAGTGCTTGAACACTGCACCTTTGATTTAATTCTTGGCGCTACTTATGCATTTTTAGCAGAGCCGAAGAAACCTTCAGAGCATATTGCTGCGGTGATTACCCAAGCGCAGCATAAGAGTGCCTCAGAGGATTCTCCTCATGTAAATCCTCTACCTGAGGAAATTAAGGTGGCCCAAAGTAGTGACCCAAATCTTAAGGCATGTTTTAAAAAGTTAACTGCAAGTCACAATCCACCTTTGAAGAAAGATTTCTTCATGAAAGGTAAGTTACTTTACAAATGGGCAAGTGACAAGTATACAGAACACAGTCAGCTTGTGGTACCTAAAACATATAGACAGCAGATTCTCCAGATGGGAGACACTATAGCCTATAGTGCCCATATGGAAATTCATGCAACGACACAACGCATTGCCTGTCATTACTTCTGGCGAGGTATGTCAGCAGATATCATGCGTTATGTCAAATCCTGTCCGGAGTGTCAGAAGGTAGATCCTAAAGGCAGGAATGCACCAGTCGGACTTGGGGAAACCCCTGTCACCTCCACACCTTTTGAAAGGGTGCATGTACCTGGCAGGGATCAGTGATACATGGATGGAATCATCATAATCTTAGGTCCACAGGGACACCTACTGATTCTTGATGAAATTCTTTTTTTATTTTATTTAGTGGTGTATAGTGGTCATAGGTTTCTCTATTTTCACATGGATTGTCATTATTGTATATATTTCATCTGTCTCTGAGAGGTTGGTTTGGTCAACCCTTTGATTCAGAACAGATGTTTTGAGCTGTCACTCCTTGCATGATAATTCACAGACTGAAGGTGATGAGCAGGCTGAGAGTGGTGAGTCCATAGATGTGTAGATGGCTGATCATTATTCATTAGCTTAATACGCTCTTCCTTTTTGGGGGGGGGGGGGGGGGGGGTACTCTCAAGGAGTGACTCGCCACTACACAAAATCGTCGAGTCGGGACCTGGTTCCCCCCCCCCCCCCCCCCGCTCGACAAAAATTTCAAACTTGGACCCGTCCGGAAAGGTATATAGTCCCTTATATTGATCTATACCTTTATCGGGTAAAATAATAATGTCTAAACCTTCTAGTTGCTTTGACTTATCGCCATTTTCAAATTTGCAACTGTAAGTTGATTATTTCTAAGGTTTTATTTGAACATTCCTGGAAACCGGTTTACTCCTTGCTCATGTATACAAGGAACTTCTTCTTACTAACGCCAAACTTGAGTTAGTGCGGGCATTCTTCTGCCGGCATTCTTAGAGACCAGAGATATTCATCGACGCTTAACAAATTCATACTTTGAGAAGGCGGCCTGTAGTGTCTAGGACATTTCCTATGCTGGGGATGAAACCTCTGTAAAGAGTGGGCAGATCAATCACAGTCCTACCAACATCCACCAACCAACTATCCACCAGCTAACACCAGTAAATGTACCTAGCATCATCATGGTGTGCCATATACACCAACACCTTAACAGGGCCAGAGCGTGTGAGTGAGCTCCGGAGCAGGTGAACATTTGCAGAGAGTATACCCATACTCGAGTGTACCAGTCTTCAGGAGCTTGGTGGAGCTCAGAGACAGAGTTGTGACCTAACCTGTGGGAGAGACTTGCTGTGTCCCTATACAATTCCTGTGTCCTCGATGGTGAGGTACTCCTCTATGAACAGATTGACCTGAGGCAGAACTACCAGAGTCAACTACAGTCGAATCACCATGGATTGAGGGGAGCATCAACAATAGAACTCTGATAAGTGCCAGTTTTTTGTGTTATTATCATGCTCTATTCCCCACAGCTACACAGTATTCCAGGGATGACACTGTGTTGCTAGTCAAGACCTTCTGGCTGTTTCAATATCTGAGTCGTTGCTCTGAGTTCTGATCCTACAAACATTCTAAACATTATTCTTTTATTGATGTAAAGAAGTTGAATTGATTACATGCATTCATTTTCATGGCTGACTTAGGTGTCTCTATTTCACCTTACTAAGTGTTTATCTTTGATGTGTGTATGTATAATAAGTATTATATGTGTTAACATGGTTTTGGTAGTAAACTATCATAACCTGGGGGCTTTCTTTTTATAGTAGTGGGGGTGTCCAGCCAAGTGTGCCTAGGAATATCATATTCGTATACATATATATTTTGTAGTGCCAAAACTTGAGTTGCCCTACTCCGGAAATAAGTTGAGTGTATATTGGCCACGGGGCATCCCTTAGACCAATACAAGCCAAACGACTCAACATAATTATTTCTGAGTGCTGTTGGTTCTTAAGGAGAAATCCTTAAATCAGGTACGTGACAGGAGTGATATGTGACGAAGATCGTGGATACCTATGATGCTGCGAACTTGGTATGTATGAGGCTAAATTTATATAGTTTACAGACCAATAGGTCATCGATGGGGGATGTGTACGACATCACATCGACCACTTTTACTTCCCAGGACTTCACCTGTTACTCATTTAAGGCTGGGTCAACCTGGGTGAGGATTTACACCCACGACCTTCTAATCCGCAGGCCAGTATCTAGCCGCTACACCACGGCGGCTCGGGTACAGAGTAACCAGTCTTTACTGTGGAGATGGCTTACATTTGTTGACAACTTTACCTTAAACTTTACAAAAATACAAGTGAACAAAAATATCCTCCCCGTCTGGGTTCCGGGGACCTATTGTGGGGACAACAAGAATAGACCCACTGCCTTACCAACAAGCATGTCGTCAAAGTTGACTAACTGGGAGCTCTCCTCTAAGTCGGAGTGGATCTGCCTGAGTGGCAGGATGCAACCAGCTGCACACAAATAAGCCAGTAAAACGGATGTACACGCAAGACTCAGGCCCTGACACAAAGCCAAAATCCAAATTAACGAACAACCAGAATTTTCCGCCGGAGTTTACAGCCGGTGAACAAAGAAGAAGGAGAAGAAGAAGAAGAAGAAGAAGAAGAAGAAGAAGAAGAAGAAGAAGAAGAAGAAGAAGAAGAAGAAGAAGAAGAAGAAGAAGAAGAAGAAGAAGAAGAAGAAGAAGAAGAAGAAGAAGAAGAAGAAGAAGAAGAAGAAGAAGAAGAAGAAGAAGAAGAAGAAGAAGAAGAAGAAGAAGAAGAAGAAGAAGAAAAATAAAAATAAAAATATTTAATTAACTAAAAAATAATTAATAAAAAATAATCTTACCATTGTCATAAACGATGGCGATTTTGGCCGTGACTTGTTGTGGCCCAAATGCCTGGAAGCTATTAAAGAGCTTGATATAGGCGCTGAAAGAATATCTGCCTCCAGGTTTGAGACTGACTAGTTGTGCAGGTCCCTGGGAGCTCTGAGTCCTGCATATATATAGATACAGTAAAACATCACAAACAAGAGTTCAAACGCACCGGAAAAGTCAAGAGTTCAAGCAAAAAAAAATATCTAAACAAATCTAGGTAGGAGAAATAGATCTACAGTAAAACCTAAATAACAAGAGTTCTAATGCATTGAAAAATCGAGAGTTTGTTAAAATTTTTCACACTAACCGGCGACTAATATATGTTCAGTAAAACCTCGTTAACATGAATTCTAAAGAACCGAAAATCGAGTTTGTGCTAAAAAGGAATTGGGGCTAACCCGGCACTAATAACATTAATACACACCTGCTGGGACTAAAATGTTACTCTCTGAGTGTTCTTCTGAACTGAATTTATCGCAGGCACATTTCGCTGTATCTCGTAAGGTGCATAACATAATTTCACCAATTATTTACACTTCAGCCGCAGACTTTTTAGATTTGCGGAAGCGATCGCAATAAACCTGCTTAGTCCATAATTATGCAGACAACTGGACCTTGAGGTTCTTCTTCTTCTTCTTCACTTCCTCTTTTACCGCTGTGGGTGTCGAGGGAGTTTTAAGGTTCTGTTTCTAGCTCTTCTGGCTGCCTCGACCATAGGCACATCCTGCTGTTGTAGAGTTTCTCTGATGTTATCCTTCCATATTGTTCTTGGTCTACCCCGTACTCTACGTCCTTCTTCTCTTTCCATGTACGCTTTGTATGGTATGGTGTCACAAGGCATTCTCTCTAATTGGGCAAACCATTTCACTTGCTGTCTTTGTATGTAATCCAGAATTGGTTCTGTGCCGACTTGCTCTCTTATGATCTCATTCCTGATCTTATCTCTTATGGTCACTCCTACAGCCCTTCTCAGACATCTCATTTCCGTGGTTACTAATTTTCTTTTATGGTTTGTTGTGAGTGACCATGTCTGGCACTGGTAGCACAGAGTTGGAATAAATATGCTTTGAATAAGATGTCTCTTTGTGCTGATTGGGATTGTCTTATGCTGTAAGAGGGGGCTAGCTGTCCCAATACTTGGTTTGCTTTAAACTCAGATGCCTGTTTAATGCCTTTGTATTCTATTGCTATGTTTAGATCTGTCTTCTTTTTTCCTATTGACATTACTTCTGTCTTTTCAGTGTTGATTCTCATATTATTTGTTTTACATTCTTCATTCATGGATGTTAGATGTTGTTGCAATTTCATGGCTGTATCTGCTATCAAGAGTAATTCGTTGATCTTACTAAGATCTTCATTCATGGGCTTGGCATTCTTGCATATACTGTCGATGTATGTGATAAACAACAGTGGTGATAAGACACACTCCTGTCTTACTCCAGATGTCACTGTGAAAGGATGAGATGTTCCCCTGATTCATTCTTGAGGTTACCCTGGTAAAACAGAGTTTTTGAATTTGGTCGATTTTGTATTTCAGATCAAAGAATTAAGTTTTTTTCTTCATTTTAATAAATTGTTACTATATTATGCACCGGACGAGATAAAGCGAACTGTGCTGGCAATAAATTGTGCAATGTATTATGTGGTATTTGTTTCTTAACTGGCTGCAATACTTTTTCTGTTACATTAACCTATCATGTCTCATTTGATACTTTTACTAGTTATCGCCTTTAATCGTATTTTCAACATATAAAGACTCAAATATTTGTACTCTAATACACACAAGGACTTGAAGATTGCAAATATGGTAGTAGCCTTTGTCTGGGATTTGAGAGTTGAGGGAATTCAACTCAAGGAGGTTTTCCTTACTATGAATATAGTTCGTGTTAATGAGGATTTACTGTATTTGTAGCATGCTGTCAATGTTAAAAGAGAAACAGAGATCGAAGACACACACACACACACACACACACACACACACACACATACACACACACACACACACACACAAATACAAGCAACATAGATACATGGATTTCGTTCAGTTAATCAACAGCTTGTCTACAAAATGTCGCTCTCTTCACGGCACGCCTGCAATTCTGGCTTTCTCTAACCAGCTCTCCAGTCCTGTGCTTTTAAAGCCAACGCATCTTCCATGTCCTGTATCCACATTTCCAGAGGTCGGCCTCTGCCTCGTTTCCCGAAAACTGCACCCTCCACCACCGTTCTGTCCAGACCACCATGGGTTTCGTTACTGGTTAAATATAAAAACGAAAGCTAACAAGCAAAAACCAGTGTTGGAATTTGTGTGTGATGATGGGACACGTTTGATAAGCAGAACTGATACGACGCTCTTATTCCTAACTGGTGCATGTTTTGGCTGTATTTATCAAATTAAAGAATGCAGGTTTAACATAATTTTACTTATGAAAATTTAATTGTTTATTATACTAGTGGGTGTAACTGTAATGAGTATGTAAGTAAATAATATGTTTTTAATGTCTTTAAAACATGTTGAATATATGGTTAAGAGTCTTCTTTATTTTAATGAACAAATATACCCTCTGTGGTAATACATCACAATGTCGCCCATACTAATCATCATATTTTTCAAAAGGTTGAATACATCTTGGAGCTCATGTCAATTTCAAAATTCCGCCTCACTTAGGATAAGACCAGAGTTCAGTTGAGTTGATTCAAGAACCGACATCACAGCACCCGTGGAACTCCCGTAAGCGCTCCGTCCTCATCTTCAGCAGCAAGAGCAGAGTTCCAATACTAATGGTGCAAGTAGCATTTTGATTAAACTTTCATCTCGCCTTTCCTCTAAGCTCGAGCATCGGCCAGAATCCTCTTCTGAGTTAGTTACGATCACCATTTGTGTGTCTGTCGTGTTCTCTAACCAGCGGAAAGCTGCAGTGACCGCCTCCACCTCCATTCTTAAACTGGATGTTGTGGTATCAAATGCTAGGCTCTCTTGCACCAAACGTCGATCATTAACAGTTGTTAAGAAATCCCAAGAATTTCTTTTGCCTCTTGAAACTGAACCGTCTGTATAAATAATCACATTCTCTAAACGAGCATTATCTTGAATTAATTGCTAAATTTCCAACTCAGTTGCACCTGCTGGCTAATCTTTGCATTTTCGGCTCAATCTGATTATGACCTTTCACAAGTCTGACTGCTCAGCTGGCACCTTGACCCACTCCTCTCCTCGCCCAATGTTCTTCAGGATGCAGACCTGTCTGACTGTGTCTTCTGCCTGAGCTATCCATGACTTCCTTCTTATCAGCCCCAGAGCTTCGTGTCTGCAGCTACCTTGGGATATCAACTCGCTTGCAGGACATTGTGCCTACCCGCAACAGTCGACAAGCCAAGGATGTTTCGTTTACACACCACTGGGGTGTCTTTAGTGCAATCCATAATGACCCGCAAAAATGCGTTCTGTGTGCGCTCTAGTTTGTCCGTCCGACTCTTTGAGACATTAAGCAGTCCCAGGCCATAACCAATCATTGACAGGATCAGTTGCTGATATAGTCAATTGCAACCATAGTCCTAAGTGCACTGAGTCTTTTTTGGCATCTTGTCACAATACTTTCTTCATGCTCCTTAAAGGACAGGCTCCTGTCAAATGTAATTCCCAGATACTTCAGTTTGCTCTCTCTGTTGATGTTTCTACCATCTATCGTGAGACTTTTGACATCAGCTCTAACGATCCTGTTGTCTAGAGAACACGAACAGACGCCTTTTCCAGGTGGACGACACCCTCATTTCTGTACACCACTCAGTCACTCTGTCTACTGTCGTTTGTAACTCCCGTGCTGTTTGTTCCTTCTCTTCCCCCCGTCCATATGCAAGTTTATCTTCTGCAAAAATCAGTATCCTTCCAACTCCTGGTGATTCTAGGCTTGCAATCTTGCTCCATACACGTTAAAGAGCACAGGCGAGTTGGCGGATCCCTGTGACTGTCCTGGGGCTAAACTGCATGGTTCTGAGGTCCATAAGCCAAGTCGGATAGCAACCCGACGTGAATACAGGGCAACGGCTACCCAAGTCACCAGCCAAGGACTGACCTCCTTCTCCTCCAGTGCGGTCTTCAGAATGTCATATCTTACTCTGTTATAAGCATCCTTGAGATCCAGTGCTGTCGCCATAGTTTCCTGTCTGTTCTGAAGCCCTTCATAGACCCCAAAAGCAAAAGTGGCTGCATTTACCCAAGTGTCTTTTCCTGGCCTGTAGCTTCCCATACCTCTTGGGAAAAGCTTCCCCAATTTTCTAAAAATTCTTGCAGCTTTACGGGTTTATCATCTGCTTTGTATCATCAGCTTTACATGATTCCACCATATTAATGGAGATCGAGCAAGCATTAGTGCTACCCACTGCGAGCAATATGTACAGAAAGTTTTTTGTTTAAACTGTAGTACAATTATTGTATCATATTAATCGTCGTCCCCCCCCCCTCTCCCCGTGGGATGCAATTGTTTGTTACTTTGAAGCCCACCCTGGCTTTTGCCGGTGCTCTGAATAAAGCTAGGCCATAAATATGGCCTAAGGGCTGCAAGGAGTTTCTGGGACCTCTCCACAGGTGATCCTCATCCGCATGATGACACTTCGTGTCACCGGGTGTTTATCGCTTGTGTGATGTTCTGATGGGGTACAACTGCCTACCTACCTTTTACCATTAAAACCTACTGAGGATCGGTAGGCTCCTGCTATGCATGCTCCTGTTGTGGAGATCCTATTATCCACAGACCGTGGTCCACAGTTGGCAAAAAAGGATGGGAGAAATGGGAAAAGGCGTTGGGGGGGGGGGGGGGGGGGGGGGGGGGGGGGTAGCAATAATAATTGATTTCCGTACTAGTTAGAGGTAAGGACCTAGATTTTTTTTTGTTTCTTAAAAAACCTTGGCCTACTCGTAGACCGAGCTTTAACGGTTCCTGGTAAAACCCTGGCAAGCAAAGGCGGCCGGCGTGATGCTGATCACATCACCCGCTGAATGTCAATTGATTAAAAAAATACAGATTTAGCTCTACATGCACAAAATGCCAAGGTGGGGAAAAGGGTCCCCTTTTTTTAAAATACCAGTCAGAGGTAGTTGTAATGTCCATGAAGAACCCATCCTTTAAAAAAAAAAAAGTTTCCGCAAACCCATTTACATACATAGGAAAAAATACTATGTTATTTTATGTTATGTTTATTTATGTTATCTTATCGCGACCTACGACGCTGCATTGGCCATTACCGTGCGTGTACATTTCTATGTTACGATTATAGTTTATGGTTCATAAACTTTGGTCACTTTGTGGTACTCGTGTATTATATGTTAAATAGGAAAACAAAGAGTATAGACATATATAGTGACATTTTAGGATATGCAAATATACTACGATATTTAAAAAAAGGAAAGTGATTCCAGTAGCATAAAAAAAAGGTAATGACATATGTTTTATGAGTAACACGACTACAGTATAAAATAATAAATAAATAAATAAAACAATGTATGCACCAAACAAGGAGTGCCGTGCTCCGATAAAGAGATGCGGCTATACTAGGCGGCACCTAAAGGGGGTGGGGAGTGGGAGCGGTATAAACAGCGACATGAAAATACAGTTTAAATTTCTGATGGACCGAAGGTATTGAGATCGACATTTCGGAGCTTTTATTGTACTGAGAAAATCTATCGCACAGTATTGACCTTGGCATTGAAACGTAGGATTAGAAAGAAAAAAAAAAACATATGGATATTGTCTATGGTGAGATAAGTTAGCTGCGTATTCTTTACAGAACCAACCCTTGCATTTTTTTGGCAATTGTTGTTTTTGTAGCAAAATTTTACGTTTAGTAGTTTGCCATTGTTTCTTGAACGGTTAGCTCTCTTTACCACTGTCGAAACCAGCGCAAGACAAACCGTCCGCAGCAGGGATCGAACCCGGCAACCTGGCATTTTGAAGCGCGCTCGAAACACCTAAGAGAGTAAGATGGTTCAATTATTTAATAAGAAAAGCTGTTGTAGATGTTGGCTGCGAAAGACTACAGAACCATAAATTATTTTAAATTTATAATATATACTTTCAATCCAGTTTGCTCCTCATAAATAGGTCAAGGATGGAAAATTTCAACTTTTGTTGATGCTTAAAGACAAACGTGCCTAGAATATATGTAAATTATTTTGTTGATACTAAAACAGACATAAGTCAAATGCAATTTTCACCCTAGTGCATTTTCAGGGTTGTTATTTGTCGCGTTGCAGCAACCCAAAGCAAATATCCGGATTCTTACTTAAAATATAGCAAAATGAAATATTACTTTTCACAACAGCACCATTTCCATTCACCGCAATGCCAACCAATTTTAAACCGTATGGGATCAGTAAAATATATGCGTAGGCAAAATTCAAATCTCAAACAAGATAGAGTCTTAAAGTGGACAAACTCCAAAACTTTCCGACAGAGTTTACAGCCAGTAAACACCAAGAATAAGCAGATATGCGGGCAGCAAACTAGACATGATCACGTCAGATAATAAACTGACCTGCTTGTGCATTTGGCAGAAACTATTCCTCCGTGTGTCTGTGTGAACTCCAGCTGCATAATAAAACCATCGTGTGTCCAGTAAGTGACGCCATTCTCAAAGCTGGGATTGAGCAACAAGTTCTGCCCACAGCAAACAGAACACAAGAACAGGACAAATACATTCCAAAGAATAAACTTCTGCAAACAGATCCCAGGCATTAAGAAGCTGAAGTTTATGTAAAAACAATGCAAATCATAAAATAAAAAGATGTATCTGAATGATTTAAAATCAGTACTCGCTGCTTTGTTAATTATTTTAAAACAAAATATATTAATTACTGTTTTTTTCCGTATCTAGAACAGGTTACAATCTACGCACGATTGTAAAAGTTGGCCTATTTCTTTGTAAATCATTTAACACGTTTTTCGTATAAAAAATTCTTACTCGGAAGTAGACCAGTGTGAATTGCATTATAGACAACTAAAGATGGAAATTGTATGTTTGTGATGGTGTTTGTTTGTGTGTGTATGAGAGAGAGAGAGAGAGAGAGAGAGAGAGAGAAAGAGAGAGAGAGAGAGAGAGAGAGAGAGAGAGAGAGAGAGAGAGAGAGAGAGAGAGAGAGAGAGAGAGGGATGCTTGTTATTGAAATAATTAAATGCCATTATTGATGCCCTCTTTCTGATGTTTGAGTTAAGAATAGTTAGCACTGAGAGCGACAATAGAGAGGACATTTTGTGGTACTTTATTTTTTATTCACACCGAACAAAGGGAACCCCGGAGTTCATGAGACGGTCCAATATTAGGAGGAAAATAAAATACTCATTTTGTAAGCTGCATGCGACAGCAGCAGAGAACGAGTCGACCATTAATGGTCGAGGGCATATTTGGGACTAATAAACGACAAAGAGATAACGGGTGTTTAGTATATGTGAAATGGTCCATAACCCAGACTTGTGTTCTGTCACAGGAAAGAGGCTTGCGCGACAGACAGACAGACAGACAGACAGACAGACAGACAGACAGACAGACAGACAGACAGACAGACAGACAGACAGACAGACAGACAGACAGACAGACAGACAGACAGACAGACAGACAGACAGACAGACAGACAGACAGACAGACAGACAGACAGGCAGGCAGGCAGACAGGCAGACAGGCAGATAGATAGATAGATAGATAGATAGATAGATAGATAGATAGATAGATAGATAGATAGATAGATAGATAGATAGATAGATAGATAGATAGATAGATAGATAGATAGATAGATAGATAGATAGATAGATAGATAGATAGATAGATAGATAGATAGATAGATAGGTAGATAGGTAGGTAGATAGATAGGTAGGTAGGTAGGTAGGTAGGTAGGTAGGTAGGTAGGTAGATAGATAGATAGATAGATAGATAGATAGATAGATAGATAGATAGATAGATAGATAGATAGATAGATAGATAGATAGATAGATAGATAGATAGATAGATAGATAGATAGATAGATAGATAGATTGATAGAGACATAGATTGATAGAGACATAGATTGATAGAGAGAATAATAGATAGATTTATATATATTAGATAGATCGACAGACATACAGATCGACAGAGACAAAGAAAAACAGCAAGACAGGCAGACAGACAGACAGGTATGCAGACAGATAATGTTTGTGAGTGTACTCGCCCCTGCTTTTGTTACGACTGCATCTTGTCAAATTGATAGTCTTTACTGTATGTATGCTCTTGCTTATTATTTCCATTTGTTAATAATAATAATAATAATAAAAAAAAGGTTTAATACGTTTCTGTTTTTGCTTCCAATGTTCTAGCCCGCACTTCTTTTGTGCCGTACATTTGTGGGTTCTTTCTCCCTCTCCCACACTCGGGGCTAATGCAGGATTTTTTCCTATTGCTTTTTGAGATACAAAAACTACACGGATTCACTTTTTTGTTGACGCAGACTTTGTTCATTGCTACAGACAAACATATGTGCTGTCTCACGCTGATAACATTCATACAGAGGGGACAAAATAAGAATTACATTCTCATGTTTAACCTTTTAAGATACGCTAGTAAATTAGACACGCTAACACGCGCAGGCGTGCACCTGAAGAGACAAAAGCACGCGCGCATTTGCGCAAACACACACATGATCGCACTTGCATACACATACGCATGCGTGCACTTGCACACACATTGTGGCTGTTAGGAGTGCTGACAGATCGGCGGTGGGAAGGAGAGGAAAGGGGTCCTCACAGATTTTCAGGATTTTGTTTGAAAATTTGATAGTAATATTTTGTTGTAATGGTTATATTGACATGTAAGGTGTGGATGGCTGAACTTTGAACAATAAGCCCTCGTTTGGGGGACTGCTGTTCAAATGCTGGGTCAGGTGAAGCACCAACCAATGAGTGGATGTGAACGAATCGAATACACGGGAAAGAAATGTATTATTTCCACATGCTTTCGCGACAACGAAGACAAAAGTTAAAAAAAAAATTAGTGAAAATTTCGCGTCACAATGGAAGTTGACTGGGTTCTGTTCTTTTTTTTTTTTCAATCCATCACGGCGGCTGTGAGATTTGGTAGGCAATTCATAGGGAGCTTTCCAGAAAGTCATATAGTATGGGGGAGGGGGTAGAATATTTTATACCAAACCTCATTGCGTTGAAATTAGGGGAAGGGATGGATTACGTCAGCCTATTCGATGAATGCGTACATTAAAAAAAAAAAAAAAAAATGAGACGAGCGGTGTGCTCTTATGAAGAAGATTTTAAGGCATTGACAAAAATGTCTACTTCAATAAGACCGTTGAGACTGGTTTCCCCAAACATATACCGTGTTAGCTCTTTTACAAATCTCTATTACAACTAGGGCTGTACCGAATATTCGCTTCGTAATCGCTTCTGGGCCGAATAGTGGACCTAATAACTATTCGGTATTCGGCCGAATAGTTGCGGTCGGGCCGTATACGAATAGTGGTTACCTTACACCCGTTCCTGGACTGGTAGAAATTAAACATTTCAAGATTTCCCACCTTGGTTCATACTGTCCAGCGTTATCTCTGTGCACCACCTACGAGCGTACCAAGTGAACGTCTGTTTAGTAAATCCGGAAATACTCTCAGTGAGACATGAAGCTGTCCTAATGCTGACAACATGGAACGATTTTGTGTGTATGGAAAGCTAATGCCGCTTGCATGGATTAATTAAGCTGTCAGTGACAATTTACAAGTTTAGTTACCTGTTATAAAACTAAGAATACTTTCACTCCTATGTATTAGTTACCACAGACTGACTGACTGAAGAATGCAAAACATGAAATGTATTTAAATGTTTACTAATCTTTACTTGATTTTGTGAAGCAAAATGTCAGCGTACATTTGACATTATGGGTGTTTTCTTTTTAGATCTATTTTATACACGAAAGTGGAAGAATGGGCTTCAGTTTGAATAGTGGGAAGACAGAAGTAATGGTGGTATCAAAGAAAATAATTACTCCTAAACGTGTAATAAAAGTCAATGTTCTTTTTTTGGGGACGTGTACGGAAATTTAGTATCTGAGCACATGGATAACATCAGATGGAAGATGCATTACTGAAATAAGAAACAGAATATGACAGGCAAAATCTGCATTTTATAAAATGAAGAACATCTTATGCAATATATCTTTGTCATTGAAGGTTAGAAAAAGAATTCTTGCTTGCTACATACATCCAGTGTTAACATATGGCTGTAAGTCCTGGATAATCGGTAGGCAGGCCAAACAATTTCTTGAAACCTCAGAGATGTGGTATTACAGAACAATGCTTAAAATATTCTGCACAGTGAACGAACATAGAACAGAGGCGAGCAGTGCTTACTACAAAAAGGCTGGTAAACCAGCAATGAACTGGGTTGAGCAGTGCTCACTACAAGAAGACTGGTGAACGAACATCGAACTGGGGCGTTCAGTGCTCACTACAAGAAGACTGGTAAACCAACATCGAAATTGGGCGTTCAGTGCTCACTTCAAGAAGACTGGTGTACCAGCAGTGAACTGGGACGAGCAGTGCTCACTACAAGAAGACTGGTGAACCTACATTGAACTGGGGCCGGCAGTGTTTACTACAAGAAGACTAGTGAACCAGCAATACACTGGAGCAAGCAGTGCTCACTACAAGAAGACTGGTGAACGAACATCGAACTGGGGCGAACGGTGCTCACTACAAGATGATTAGTAAACGAACATCGAACTGGGGCAAGCGGTGCTTACTACAAGAAGGCTGGTAAACCAGCAATGAACTGGGTCCGGCAGTGCTCACTACAAGAAGACTAGTGAGCGAACATCGAACTGGGGCGAGCGGTGTTTACTACAAGAAGGCTGGTAAACCAGCAATGATCTTGGTCGGGCAGTGCTCACTACAAGAAGACTAGTGAACGAACATTGAACCGAGGCGAGCGGTGTTTACTACAAGAAGGCTGGTAAACCAGCAATGAACTGGGTCGGGCAGTGCTCAATACAAGAAGACTAGTGAACGAACATTGAACCGAGGCTAGCAGTGCTTTCTACAAAAAGGCTGGTAAACCAGCAATGAACTGGGTCGTGCAGTGCTCACTACAAAAAGACCAGTGAACGAACATTGAACCGATGCTAGCGGTGCTTACTACAAAAATGTTGGTAAACCAGCAATAAACTGGGTCGGGCAGTGCTCACTACAAGAAGACTAGTAAACGAACATCGAAATGAGGCGAGCGGTGCTCAGAGATGTGGTATTACAGAACAATGCTTAAAATACCCTGGACAGCTGAAAAAAAAAAGAAAAAGGCAAACAAGAAGCTTTGAAAGAGGCAGGAGCCCGAAGACAACTCCTCACAGACATCAGAAGGAGACAGTCATAAGTTTTTCGGCCATGTTATAAGAAGAGGGAAAATGGAACATGTGGTGACCACTAGAAAGATATGTGGAGGAGGGATAGAGGAAAAGAAGATTCTTGACAGTCTTGTTGCATGGCATGGAGGTGTGTCAGCACACGAACTAATACATGCTGCAGGAGATCGCAGATTGTGGCGAGGCATAATCGCTCATACCAGTCGGCAAAGCACCTGATGATGATAATTCACCATTCGTATTCGTATTCGGCGAATAGTTGGTCTAGCTATTCGAATTCGGCCGAAAAGTGAAAATCACTATTCGGTACAGCCCTAATTACAACTGATTACAAATTAAACTATTGAATTTA